GCTGGTGCATAAATTAGTTTGCTCTGGAGCCATCCTTCCTGAGCGAAGGCAAAAATGTGTGAGCCGGAGGCTGAAAAACTGTGAGCTAGCTCACACTAACTCAGCTTAGAGGGAACACTGATCAGGACCCTGCAGGACCTTTTACAGTTCCGCAGGGCCTGCAAGATGGAGCTCTTCCACCAGGCCTTCGGTAAAGGAGCCACCACCATCACCACCACCATCATCATCATTAAAGGGGTGCCCGACTCCACCATTACAGCCTGTGCCAGTCGTATATATATGATAAAGATAGAGAACTGATTAATAAAGTAACCATTGCCGCCATCTCTAATGTATTAGTTTACAACCAGTTAGCACTTTTTGTTTTGAATTGTTTTTAGATGGTTTTTGTCAGAGCCCCTGGAGAAATCAGTTCCCAATAACAGTCATTCAGAAGAAGTAAAGTTTATTGAAACATTGATAGGATCCAGACTCATAACATTCTTTGTTAGAACTGAGGTCAGCCTGTTAAGCAAGCAATTATACTGCAATCAAACAGACATTAGTGGCTCTTGGCCAATCGCACCTAAGCTATAGCCCGCCAAACCAATGGCCTAATTTTCCCAGGGGAAAGAGAATATTAAGACAGTTTAGGGCTCAAGGTTACATGGGCACATCACACAGATAACAGCAAAGAGTCCAGAAATGAAAGTAGACATTCTTGTTCGCATCCCCCCATCTCCTTGGCAACCAAGCCCAAGACATGCACTTGGTTGACAGTTTTATCTATGTCATAACTGTTCTTATGTTAACTTTTGTAAGCTGCCCTGAGCCTGCTTCAGCAGGGAGGGTGGGGTATAAATCAATCAATCAAATAAATAATGGATGGTAGTCCATCTTCTGCCCCTGACATTCTGGCAGAGATTTTGGATGCTGTGGCTGGATGTGTGGAATAGATGTGAGTATCAGACTCCCCACGCTGGAGCAGGTGCCTTTGGTGCTGACCCAGAAAGTGAGAAGCCTGGGAGTAACACTGGATGCCTCTCTCTCTATGGAGGCCCAGGTTACTGCAGTTGCCAGATCTGTATTCTTCCATCTTAGGCAGATAAGGTTGCTGAGACCATATCTCTCCCGCCAGGACTTAGCTACAGTGATCCATGCAATGGTCACTTCCAGGCTTGTTTACTGCAACTCGCTCTATATAGGCTTACCCTTGAGGCTGACCTGGAAATTACAGCTGGTGCAAAATGCGGCAGCACACCTGCTGATGTTGACACCTGCGCGGGCTCACATCTGGCAGGTGCTCTGCCAACTGCATTGGTTGCCAGTTGACTTCCAGATTTGCTTCAAGGTGATGGTAATAATCTTTAAAGCCTTATGCGGCCTGGGACCCACATATCTGAGGGACCGCCTCTTCCCATATACGCCACAAAGAGCGATATGCTCTATGGACCAACATCTCCTGGTTGTCCCTGACCTGAAGGACATCTGTTTTGCCTCAACCAGGGCCAGGGCTTTTTCTGCCCTGGCCCCTGCCTGGTAGAACACGCTCCCTGTAGAGATTAGGGCCCTGTGGGATCTTCTTCAGTTCTGCAGAGCCTTCAAGACGGAGCTGTTCCACCAGACTTTTGGCTGAGGCAGTGAGCATCCTTATATGGCCTCCCTGAAGTTGTTGTCACCCACCTACCAACCCAAATGATATGCCAGGGAACCTCCCACAACCAGTTGACTTGTCTGAATTGTGACTGTATTTAGATTGTTTTAAATGTTTTTAAATTTTAACTGTATTTATTGTATTATTATATGATGTTACCCACTCTGACCCCACTCACAGGATGGGCGGGCTATAAATACAAATAATAAATGAATAAATAAATTTGTTATTAAGGACATGCTTCATGAGATCATTAAATGGCCCTTATGCCTTTTATCGGGAACAAGATTTTATGACATTTATGAGCTTACTAATACTTCACATTTTGTTGTTAGGAAACTCTACCTGGTGTCAAAGTCAGTGGTGGTCTTTCCAATCTATCCTTTGCCTTCCGAGGAATGGATGCTATTCGAGAAGCAATGCATGGGGTTTTTCTTTACCATGCAATTAAGGTAAATTTATGCATTATGATCAAAGCATCATTTGATCAGAATATGTTATGTTGATGTATTAATTGAGTTGCATCTACCACTCTGCTCAGCTAAGGGTATTGTGTTCTTTAAGTGCAAGAAGCTCTTCTGCTTGTGGGACCTGCTTTTCACTAATGAAATGTGTCATCCCTTAGGTGAGTAGAGTGGTAAGATATAACCCTGTATCTTCTCTCCTTCCCTCCTCTGGTTTTCTCAGTCTGGAATGGACATGGGGATCGTGAATGCAGGGAATTTGCCAGTATATGATGATATCCATAAGGAGCTTTTGCAGCTATGTGAAGATTTGATTTGGAATAAAGATCCAGATGCAACAGAGAAACTTTTGCGTTATGCTCAGGTACCTTTTATATTTTGTCTTCATTTTCAAATCAGACATGAGCCATAAGCATGGAAGCTGGAAGAATTAAAACATGTTTTCATGATTTGGTTTTCCACAAATTATTACACAGAATAATTTGTCTGAATAGAGTCAGAACACTGACATTGAACATCAAATCTGCACACACACACACACCTGTGAGTACATTATGCTGTTCTGTTGTCTGAGCAAAGGCTGGGATACAAAGTTTTTCCTGGAGATCAAAAGTGACTTCTAGCTGATCTACGAGGATATACTATGTATGCTATTACCATACTATAATATGTTGGTAGCTGTTGATTGGGAAGTGTATATGTGTCGTTTATGCGGATTATATGTTATATATTCAGTGTTATTTTTAGTTGTGTACATACTGTCATGATCCTAGAGTTGCTAGGCTGAGCCTGGCAGAGTTGGAGGCAGGGACAAGGGATGATGAGAAGCTGGCTGCATTTCTTTTTAGCAACCGGCACCAAGAAGAAAAGAGAAAAATCAGAACAATCCGAGATAATAGTAAAAAACAGCACACAGCACACAAAAAAACCTCCAATGAAGACATCCTAGCCAGTTTTCCCTCTAAGCTGTGGAGTCTTGTGAGCAAGAATTCTACTTTGTGAGCGACTGGCATTAAAGTTATGAGCAAGTGATTTGGCTACTGCATAAATTAGTTTGATCTGGAGCCATCCTTCCTGAGCTAAGACAAAAATGTGTGAGCCGGAGGCTAAAAAACTGTGACTCTGAGCCAGCTCACACTAACTCAGCCTAGAGGGAACATTGATCCTAGCAGAGATCAGACAAAAAAACTAATGAGACATGTTAGAATTGGGAGAGTTTACAGAAAAAATTAAAATTTCTAAAACAAAGGCATTTTGAACATGCGAACAAACCTGGCAGATACTTGGTGTGCTGTTTTAGGAGTAAGAAAATGTATACCAACTTTAACACACATTGATCAAACAGGCTTTGTGCCAAAGAGGTATTTGAAAGATAATATACAATGAATAATAGATGCAATTGCATTTGTGAACTAGAAGAGAAAAAAAGCAGCATTTTTATTTCTGGATATAGAGAAAGCATTTGATAATTTAACATGGTCTTTTCTACTGAATGTACTTCAAAATATGGGCTGTGGCCCTGAATTCTGGAACTTGATGCAAGGTATATACTCAAACCGAAAAGCAAAGTTTTAATAAATGGAAAATTGACAGAAGCAATTTCAATCGAAAAAGGAACACGCCGGGGATGTCCCTTGTCCCCCTCCCACTATTTATCCTAGCAACAGAGACTTTAGCTACAAAGATCAGACAAGACACTAGTATCAAAAAATAAAAGTGGATGATGTAGAATTTAAAATGAAAAGCTATGCAGATGATGTGGTTCTAAGTCTTGGATCCCCAAGAATCATTATAGTACATAGTGGAACATAGTGAAGAATTTGGATCCTTCTCAGGATACAAAAGCAATAGGAAGAAGACAAAAATAATAACGAAATTTTAAATGCAATTTTTTAACAAGAACAAGATATTATAAAGAGTATAAAATGTACAGCAGCCACTAATCCCATTGAATATCTGGGAATAAATGTGACTGGGCAAAAATAATATTTTTAAAAACAATTATTAGAAGATTTGGAAATTGATACAAGCAGATTTATTCAGATGAAAAAAAATTAAACATCTCGTGGCTGGGAAGAATCTCTGCAATCAAAATGACTACTGCCGAAATTGAATTTTTTAATTGCAAATGCTACCTATACATATAGAGTGAAAAGCTATGCAGATGATGTGGTTCTAAGTCTTGGATCCCCAAGAATCATTATAGTACATAGTGGAACATAGTGAAGAATTTGGATCCTTCTCAGGATACAAAAGCAATAGGAAGAAGACAAAAATGATAACGAAATTTTTAATGCAAATTTTTAACAAGAACAAGATATTATAAAGAGTATAAAATGTACAGCAGCCACTAATCCCATTAAATATCTGGGAATAAATGTGACTGGGCAAAAATAATATTTTTAAAAACAATTATTAGAAGATTTGGAAATTGATACAAGCAGATTTATCCAGATGAAAAAAATTAAACATCTCGTGGCTGGGAAGAATCTCTGCAATCAAAATGACTATACTGCCAAAACTGAATTTTTTAATTGCAAATGCTACCTATACATATAGAGGAAAGAAAATTGAAAGAGTGGCAAAGACAGATAAACAATTTTATTTGGAATGGCAAGAAACCAAGAATAAGCTTTAAAATATTACAGGATGAGAAAAAGAGAGGAGGGTTAGCAGTTCCTAATATAAAATTATATTATCAAGTGGCAGGCCTGGTTTGGATTACAGATTGGATTGAAAAACCAAGACAAAACTTAAAACAGCAGACCTAGATGAAAGCTTTCACAATTATTTATAGGTTAAGAAATCAATTAAAATGATCCTAACATTAGAATGGAGTCATATAATCAGAGATGGATTTATTGAGCCCTCTCCAAATTCTCCGCTCATGTCCCCAGTAGAAGTTTATCATGATAAGAACACAAGAAATAAAAATGGTTTTTTAACATACGGCAATATGATAAATGCTCAGGGGAAAATCAAGTCCTGGCAAGATATTAGAGATGAAGGAATCAGCATTCAATGGTTGCTATATGATCTATCAGCTTCGAGACTAAAGAAGATTATCAACATAGAAGGTGGGGCTCTAAGAGAGGTGACTGAATTTGAATAGCTGATTATAAACAAAAAGACCATTTACTATGATGGAAATATAAGTTATTATTTATGATTAAACGGATGCAGAATCTTTGAGAGCGGATACCTATGCATCAATGGAAACGATTGTGGGAAAAAGAAATTAAGTTTACAGCCAGTCCGGCGTTAAGGGAAAACTGGTACAAAATGTTTTTAGATGGTATGTAACCCCAAAGGATAATGAGAAAGTTGACAAAAACTGCAAAGGAAAATGCTAGAAATGTCAAGACATAGGTGGAACCTTTTACCATATTTATTTATTTAGATTTATATACTGCCCTTTCCAATGGGCTCAGGGCGATGTACAACAGTTAAATATACAATTAAAACAGTATTAAAATAACAGTTTACACTTACAGTGGACTTGTAAAAAAGCAAAAAGATATTGGAAGGAAATACATGGGAAAATGCCGAACATATTAAAATTTAAATTCCCTTTGGAAGCTGGGGATATGCTATTACAGATGCTGCCTAATAAATTACCAAAAATTTTGGAAGATATTCAAATATATGGTGACAGGAGCTACAGTTATCTATGTAGCAAAATGGAAATTATATGTCTGTCCAAGCTTAGAAGAATGAGAAAATAAACTTGCCAACTATGCAATAATGGCAAAATTAGCAACCTTTTTGAGAAACAGATCAATTAAGAAATTTGAGGAGAGATGGAGTATGTATTATGCAATACATTTTAGAATGAGAAACATTTTAAAAATTGTATCTAAATGTATTGCAATGCAGAAGCAGAATAAGAATGTTTTAAATGTAACATTTTGAATATAAATGTACAAGGAAGTGGATTTTGAGCAGAAACATCTTTTATTTTCTTGTTAGGAGATGTATAATAGACTTTTCTTTATACTTTGATATATTAACTGTTAAAGGTTATAGCAAGTATGTAGAAGTGGTGAAATATGTAATATTGAATATGATGTAATGATGAAACTAATATTGTTGTGGCAAAATAGATCAGTTATGAAATCTGAAATCTAAAATGTTGAATATAAAAGTACCCCAACAAAAGGGCCATTGTATTTTAAAGATAATGTCTTAAAAATTGTAATGAAGGGGATGTTGGAGAGAAATATTTTCTGCTTTATACACTCTGTAATATATGACTATCCTTGATATATACAAGTATGTTATATAATCCCTCTCTTCCTTTTTGTATTCCTTCTTCCCCCCCCATATATATAGAAAGAAAGAAAAAAGAAAAGAAACTGGCTGCATTTCTGTGTCACTTCTGGGAAAAACCTGAACTGATGCAGGATACCTCTAGGAATTACTGGAAACTCTATGCTAAAACCATAGCGGTTCTGGAGATTCTTAGAGTTACCAAGGCTGCGGGCACACGGGCAGGAAAATGCGGGGGGGAAGCGTGGCTGTTTGCCCCGGGGCTAAAAACCACGTGGTTGCGCAAGCAGACCTCCCCCCATGGTAGGGGGGAGGTGCTGATCACTCCACAGTCCTGCGACACGGCAAAGAAGCGGGGCGCGGGGCAAACGGGGTTGGGGATTTTTTAAAGCTCAAATGTGCGCATGCTCCCTTGGGTGCTTGTGCGCATCCATGGAGACTTTGGGGAAAAACCCTTTTTGTGAGGGGACATGGGCGGGCGCCGGAACTACCACCGGAAACGTGATCAGACGCCCGCCCTTGCCCCGCGGTTTCAGGAAACTAGTACCTCCGAGGTACTAGTTTTTTTTACCGCGCATTTTCCACGGGAAGCTCGGGTTCGCCACGGGAGCTTGACGCTTCCCAGATGTTGTGGTGAGATCGTGCCCGGAAAATCCGCCTATCTTCCGTCCCTCTAGCGTATCTAATGCTCCGTGTGACCGCAGCCCAACATCACTTTTCGGTATTCCCTGGCAGTCATATAGCAATGCAGCCAATGTCACCAGTTTTTAATTTTTTCCTCCTGCCACCACTCAGAGTAGCAGCAGGCAAAGCCGGTTGCCAGAGGCAGGCCTCCCACCAAAAGCTGAGGGATGGAGTGGCTTGTAGACCTCAAGACAGCCTTTACCTCACACACAGGCCTCAGGCTTTGCAGCCAGTTTTTCTGTGAGCCTACATTTCCCAGGCACACTTCTAACCTCAGGACTGGAGTGGGAAAAATGGAGGCAGAGCCTTGAGGGGACAGTGTGTAAGAACCTGTATATATAGAGAGAGCATTCAGTCCCTGAAGCAGCTTGGCATTGTGAGGCCCTTTTTGGAATGAGCTGATCCCTCACC